CAGTAGAAGCACCACAAGCGTTCTACCTCTAACATTCCACACAACGCAACAACATTCACCAAAATCCAAGTCGCGGGTGTCAAAGACTGTCTGGACGTACGATAAATGTTTCTTTCCGAAATGCTTGTAACAGCAACAAGAACAATCACAAAACGCACTTCACTGTCGAATAAAAAGACTGCCGATACATGATATGAGATATTATTATTATCAGTATCAGCGAAGTTAAAGGGTCCTCTCAGATCTGAGAACAGCGGGGAACGTTTCATCAAAGGCCGCGAGCCCAAGAAGACGAGAGTCTTTGCCACTGGACGATTTCTCCAGTTCGGCACAACACGTTAATAATTTATACTACGTTCTCTGTCACAGTCCACTCTACTCGACGTCATTATAATAATCGTATAGCAAAAACAAGCAACACTGGGTGGATGAGCACGCTGAGAGATAGGTACAGCACACGACGCACTTACACCACTATGTGTGTGTGTCAACCAACGTCATACACACACACACACTTAGATAAACACACACAGAGAGACACAGAGACACATACAGAAACTAGAGGTGTGCAAAATCCGGATAATCTATAAGGATAACCGGATAATTCTCAATGAAACATTATCCGAATTCAGAATCTTAAACTCTCTTTACTGACCCGTTTGCCGAAGTGGTTCTAATCCATTTGCCGAAGCGTTTCATATCATATTATTATTTGCACTGACATATTATCCGGAATTTGTTAAAGCGACTCATTGCCCAGCCCACACAGGAGCGACCAGCAGGGCTTGTCTGGGCAGGCTGAGGCACGGCTGGAACCAGCACAAGAACTCTGCCGCCTTTCCGAGATCACAGAAGTGTGGCAGCGACACTCGCAGGCAGCAGGTAGCAACTAGCAGGGGGTGGGGGTGGGGGACGGAGACGCACACGGAGGGATCTATAAATAACCGCTAACCGATATAACACCTGGACTGGTCATTATATAAAATCATTGAGCCAGGTAGCCTGAGACCTAGACGGCCAGATAGCCTTAGACGCAAAGATTCGCAGTTCGCAGCGACGCGCGCGAGTTTGTGCATTATTGGGTTTCTGGGGCGTGAATAAATTGTTGGCTTTATTTATCACGGAAGGAATTCCCGGTGCTATTTATAGCTAGCACAGGGCGGCGGGCGGCGAGAGAGAGAGAGAGAGAGAGAGAGAGAGAGAGAGAGAGAGAGAGAGAGAGAGAGAGATACAGACACACAGACAGTCAGACAGACCAGAATCATAGTATAATAAAGAACATTCAGTGAGAGAGTAAACATGTGTGTGTGTGTGTGTGTGTGTGTGTGTGTGTGTGTGTGTGTGTGTGTGTGTGTGAGAGAGAGAGAGAGAGAGAGAGAGAGAGAGAGAGAGAGAGAGAGAGACAGAGACAGAGAGACAGAGAGACAGACAGAGAGAGAGAGACAGAGAGAGATCGATAAATAGATACATTGCAGTGTTGGAAACATCCTAAATGAAAATCGGAGACACTCGACCTCAACATCTTCCTTAAATATGAATCGAACTCGTGTCACATGCACATACGGTGAGCACATTAACCACCACACCACATACAACAATTTTCACTTGTACTTGTCGACCTAAACATAATTTTTTTTCCTCAAAGCAAGTCAGCACAACAGTATGAAACAGACTTACATGTGGTACCAGTACCTAAGTAGCAAAGAAAACATTACGGACCATGTTTCATTAAAAAGAGGAAAGCTTGGTTTTAGTTTTAGCAGGAATTTTACAGCGCTCGTAACTGCATAATACGGTCTTATGAGTGCCACCCGTGAGGAAAGCTTAGGTATTGATGAAAAAAAATTCTTATCAGATCAACATTATTTGACGTTGACAAAATAAGAAGAGAGGTGACAATGTAGGCTCCTCTTTTGTTTATCCGTTTGTTCAAAGACACTTCGGTGTGTTAGAAATAAACACAATACTTTGGTACTTTTTAAAATGTTCTAACTTCTGGTAGATAGAGAACAAAGCATTGAATTAAAGTAGAGAACAAAAGCCTTGAATTTAGGTAGAGAACAAAGAAATGACGTCTGAGACTAGGAAGAGAAAAGTACATAAATATTTGGCCCAGAACAACCTCCCAAGAACACAAAATTAAATAAAAATTTCACACCGTTTTTCCAGGCAGACATCATCAGGCATATCAATAATAATGCCGGGGCATGTTCAATCTTAGGAAATTACCCAGAGACAAAACAAGACGTTAGCTGAGAGTTTATCGAAACGTACTACAATATTATGTATAATATTTGTGAGGCAGCGTGGTGGAATCAGGCTCTCGTCAAAATAATCAAAGTGAAGAAACTTGCATTGTTCCCCAAGTATGTGAATTTTTATCAAATTTTTGTTTTTTGGCTCAACACCTTCCATGCCCATTAAAGAACTCATTTCTGTGTGGATTTCTCTTAAAAACGTTTATTAAAGGAATTAAAAAAAAAAAAATTTCAGTCGCCACGGACTCTTAAGCTAAGGAAATAACTAATCTTTGGCGGACATTTCCTCACTAATTTTGCTTCTGAAAACAGATGACTCACACCTCCTTCATTCACAAATATCTCAACTTGTATTCAAGATAAAGGATATTTTTTTCCTACAAGTAAAGACGAGTGAATAAGCTGTATGATGGTACCTATAACTCTACATGCCCAAAAATTGACGAGAGCCTGATCCCTCCACGCTGCCTCACATTTTATATACAATTATATAAAATCTCATTTCATGCTTTTTTACCTCAAAGAAATGTTTCAGAACCACTAGATTATTCTATCCTCACAACCTTTATGGTGACAAATCTTCGGCAAAACCAACATGAAAAAAAAAGATAATGAATATAATAATGAGTACAGTGATACATCCATAAACTGAGGACGGGCAGAGAACTGAAAATGACCACACAGTTTGCATGTAGCAGGCAGCGGGAAACAAAGAAATCATAACAAGCACAAAGTCCCACAGTTAAGTGTAAGGACTTTATATCTCAAGGCTATGGCTACTTTGATACTGTCCTGAGCACTTCCGAACACCCTATTGTTGTTGTTGTTGTTGTCGCTGTTGTTGTTGTTTAGTTTTTATTGGTGTTGTTGTTGTTAATGTAGTTGCAGTTGTTGCAGTTGTTGTTGTTGTTGCAGTTGTAGTCGAAATCGTTTTTGTTATTGTTGTTTTTGTTCTTGTTGTTATGATAGTAGTAGTAGTAGTAGTAGTAGTAATAGTTGTTGTTGTAGTTGCAGTTGTTGTTACTGTTGTCGTTGTTGTTGTTTTTATGTCGTTGTTGTTGTTGCACTTTTATTTTGTTCAGTTGGGTTTTTTCGGAGGTGTGGATGGTTTGTACTGTTTGTTTGAGTAAAGAAAAGCACATGGATAGAATCATCAGTCCCCACTATACAGGCATCATGCACATCTGGCAACAAAAGAAACGGCGTAAGACAAGAGAGAGAACAAGTCTGTGTTGACCTCCACTTCCCACTCAAGACCCAGAAACTCATGAAGAAAACAGTAGATGTATAAACCATAATGTATAATGTGTAATGTATAACGTATTCAGGTATATAAAGTGTAGACCTAACGTATAATGTATAATGTGTAATGTGTAACGTTTTCAAGTATATAAAGTGTAGACCTAACGTATAATGTATAATGTGTAATGTATTTTTAAAGTAATCAAGTATATAATAAAGCATTATGTATAATGTACAATAGGTAATGTATAAAGTTTTCATGTATATAAAGTATAAACGTAAAATGCATGTATAAAGTATGATGTATAAAGTATAATTTATAAAGTATAATGTATAATGTATACAGTGACGAGTGATTCATGCACACTGGTGTGACCATCCCAATAACAATATTATATACCTGATCCGGATAGGGGCGGGGCTGAAACAGGAAGTGGGCGGGTGTATCAGACAAGGGAAATAACTCACATAGCCGGAGAAACAAAACATTTTCTAGAGTTGTGTACCTTGCATACATACAAACCGTGACAACCCAGCGTATTTTTGTTCATTGTCCTGGGGATTCCCCGACCCCACAGACACAAGGTGGCGCCGATTGGTTTTACCTGTGATAAGGCAGCTTCAGCGGGGAATGTTTTACTCAGAAACCCAACTCCCATACTAAACAATCTAAAGTTTTCTTGCAAGCAGACAATAAATAATACTTCTTTGTTCTCATTGAAATGTGATAGATCTAGTTTCCACAACTACATGACGTCGTGTTCAGAAAGTAGCTGGCACAGAATAGTCCCCACAAAAGGCACAATCTTTGCCAGTAAGCACGATGGTCTCTTCAGAAGTATCACTAAGTAGGAGCATTAGCTGTATTCTTTTGATGCAGAACTCTCGTGTTGTAAACTTGTGAAGAACAAGGAATAAATGAAACCCTTTGCAGAAAAAACCATGGATTGCTCTTCCTGTCAGAGCCAGTACAAAACGGTGCAGAACTCTTCAGTAATTATAATTATATGCTCAGGAAAACGTTTCGAATTTTCAGTTCTAAAAATGGTGCGTGATCACCAAAAGTACACTACTGTTGTTGTCTATGATATAGGCCTAGATAGCAACAATATAATCTCCCTCTCCAATAAAAAGAAGAGAGACAGAGAGAGAGAGAGAGAGAGAGAGAGAGAGAGAGAGAGAGAGAGAGAGAGAGAGAGAGAGAGAGAGAGAGGGGGGGGGGTGATAGAGAGATAGACAGAGAGACAGACAAACAGACAGACAGAAACAGAAACAGACAGACAGAACCAAAAACAGAGAGAAAGAGAGACACAGAGACACAGAGAGAGAAGGTGAAAGAAACAGAGACAGAGACATAGAGAGACAGAGACTAAGAAAGAGACAGAGAGAGAGATGGTGACAGAGACAGAGACAGAGACATAGAGAGACAGAGACAAAGAAAGAGACACAGAGAGAGAGAGAGAAATGATAATGTACCACAACCCGTAAGCAAGCACCCACCTTGCCCACGACCTCCGGCAGGGAGGGCGCCTCGTCGAGGTCATCAGAGGTCATGACCTTGTCTCCCTGACCCCGGCGGTTGGAGCAGACGCCACAGCAGCAGCAGCAGACGATGATGATGACGACCACCAGTAGCAGCAGGCCGCCCAGAACGCTGCCCACGATGATCCAGGTCATGTCGTCGTCATCACTAGCCGGCTCAATGTACGCTGGGGGTAAAACCAGTTTTAATTTTTAGTTTTTAGTAGAGTTTTTACGGCGCTCGCAACTGCATACGGTCATATGAGCGCCAAAGGGTGGATGTCAACAGAGAAGTCCTTACAGGGAATCACTTACTCTGCTCACCTCTCTTGTTTTTAGTTTTAGTAGTGATTTTACGGCGCTCGCAACTGCATAAGGTCATATGAGCGCCAAGGGGTGGATGTCAGCAGAGAAGTCCTTACAGGGAATCACTTACTCTGCTCACCTCTCTTGTTTTTAGTTTTAGTAGAGATTTTACGGCGCTCGCAACAGCATAAGATCATATGAGCACCAAGGGGTGGATGTCAACAGAGAAGTCCTTACAGGGAATCACTTACTCTGATCACCTCTCTTGTTTTTAGTTTTAGTAGAGTTTTTACGGCGCTCGCAACTGCATAAGGTCATATGAGCGCCAAGGGGTGGGTGTCAACAGAGAAGTCCGTACAGGGAATCAGACTTACTCTGCTCACCTCTCTAGCTTCAACAGCACAACGTCTGCTTCAGCTATCAAGGCACCACGGAAATAGAGGGTCACAAGAGTGTGACAAACATACAAAACAAGTACAGGAACAATGACGATAGTAAGGATTAGGGAAGAAAAAGCAGCAGTTCCTTGTTACAGTTCAGGCAGTTATGGGCATGACATTGATGAATCAGCCCATTTACAGTTCTACTATGCATAAGGACAGGTTAATGTTCCCCCTTTGCGAATGGCCTAAAGACACTTCAGTCAGTGGCATCGTCTCGGGGGTGGGGTATAATCAGGGGGAGGGGGTGGGGATGAGGGTGGTACAATGGTTGGAGAGGAGGCTGGTGGTGGTGGTGGTTTCATTTTTCCTTTATTACCAGCTGACCAGAAAAGTTCGTTCAAAGTATTGTTAATAACTTTCATGTTTATGATTCAATTGACATCAAAATTGACAGAAAGCTTTAACGTCCATCTGGATTACGTTCTTTTTTAAAGTTCATTGCTGTTGCACAATTGAAAGATGATAAAGCATTTAATCCATGTACACCATGCTTTTGCAGTGAAGATAAATCTACAAACGAAACCTCCCAAGTCTACATGTCGTGCATAATTTGCTCGGCCATACGGGATAGACATATCAGTAACAAGCATAACGTTCCAAGCAAAAGGTCCATTTTGAAATGGGCTGTACATTTTGAAAGGTTTGGGTTCAGAGAAGAACAGAACTCGAATTCAAAGCCCCGAGTAACACACAGTAGGCAGCCTGTTAAAGCAACGTACTCTTGAAAAGGATAAGGTGGTCCGTGATTCGGTGAGCTCTGACCGATACCTCGTCATGCTGCCAAACTTTTGGAGAAGCTTGGAACTATTAAAATTTGTTGAT